CTGCTGGTCATGTATAGTGTGTATAGTTTTGGGATTAGGCCATTTTACTTGCCCATTATTTCCAGCCACATATTTTACATCACATTGGCTGCCCGGCTGCATATGGCCTACTCTGCGGCTTGTTCCTAGGCAATGGTCCCATGTGCTCTAGTCAAGCTAACTCATTTGATCTTTGGCTGCTGGTCATGTATAGTGTGTATGGTTTTGGGATTAGGCCATTTTACTTGCCATATCAGTTTCCAGCCACATATTTGACAGCCAACCGGCTGCCCGGCTGCATATGGCCAATTCTGCGGTTGCAACATAACAAGGAGTGAGCCTTAGGGGCTAGAATCCGAAAGTGTAGACTTCCAACTTACCATATCACCCTACATTTTGATTATCAATGAGAACTACACTAATTGACTTATGCGATTACTTCTTATGAAACATTTACATTTCTCATGTTTCTAATGCATTTTTTGTGTTTCATTTATATAAATATACTACACATGTACTACTTGGGTGAGAAGGTGAGCTATTCTTCTTCATCTTGACCGGATTATTGGCAATGATGAATCGTTTTTACAATGCATATCAGTTTCGTTGTAGCGCTACTCTTTAAGTATTTAGGCAGTTATTAGTTGCTGCTTTATTTATGCGGGCTATGATGGATTGACCCATCCCCCTAGTGTAGTACTCCGACACTTCCAAGAGGAATGTCATCCCTCACCTCATAAATAAGGCTTGGTAGCGTAACTGCCTTGCCTTAAGGTTAGTGCTCCGAAACTGATGATGACACTTTTATACGAAATTCTGAGCCAAATGAGATGAAACGTGATGCTTTAATCATCCATTCTTCTTTGTCGTGGCATATTGCTCTTTCTTACCATGGGTGGTGGTCTTGATGTTTGTATTAGATGCCGCGAAGAAATGAAGAGGACGTGACTTTCTATTGGTCTGAAAAACAAAAACATGCGCTGTTAATCCGACTTGCGGCTTACAATAAGAACAACAGACGCCAACCGGAGCCAGCTGATTGGGATCAATGGGCCACAGATTTGTCCCCTCTATTTTCCAGTCTGATTCCTCCAGGCCGAGTGAAGGAGGCAAAGGAAAGACTGAAAAAGAAACTCAATGCTGCGCTTGCCCTTCGCACGAACACCGGCCTCGGATGGGATCCCGTACAAAATTGCCCAACATGCACGGATGAATACTGGGATAACTTCTGCAAGGTTAGTACTTTTTTTTATGTACTTCTGCATATGTAGTTGCATAAGATGTTTTCACCCAATTGCTGATTTTCAAGTTGCTGTGTAAACAGACGCACAAATGGGCAAAGCGTGCACGCAACGACCCGCTCAAAAATTATGACCTCTACTACGAGGCCTTCGCGAGTACGCATGCACATGGTGCGTTCGAATCACGGCAGGATGATACCGATGAGGAAGATGAAACCTCACAGCCGCACATAGAGGAAGCGGAGAATGTAGTTGGCGGAACCTCTCAAGCTGGTGAAACTGAGGAAGGTTTTGTTCGACCAATGAGAAGCGTTCTTCATTCGTCGGGACGTTCATTGAATATTGCCTCTTCTTCGCGGCCAATATCGAAGAGACCAAGCAAGAGCGGGGTAAGAATGATGGATCTAGAAGTGAAAATACTTTTAAAGAGTATAGCCAATACTCTTGAAAGGCGCCAGTCTAGCAAAGGCACTAGTTCAGGTGCAACTCAACCTGGGGCTACACAGCCTGGAGAAACGCCGACTTTAACATTTGACCGTTGTTGTGAAGTCATAAGTGAAATGCTACTTGACGACGAACAGGTTGTATCTTTTAGTGAGTATTTGAACTGGAATCCAAATTGTCAGATCTTGTTCTTACGTTTAAAAGAAAGCCAACGCCTGCTCTATGTGTTGAAAACGTTGAAGGCCTTGTCCAATCAACAGGCGCCACCCACTGGACCCACATATAACATGCCCCACGGAACACCATTTATGGGTTCCTAACCATTCCAAACACAATTTCAACAACAATTCCCCGGAAATCATCCAGCTTTTCCCCAACAACCCACAAACTTAACTCAACCATCGCCCAACTATCAGCAACCGCCTCACGCTTTTCAACAAGTCCCTCCCAATTTACAACGCCCACCCCAATACTACATGGGTAATCAATACCCCAACTTCCCAGGCCAATTTGGTGGAGAAGGGAATGACGATCACGTGTAACGGCAAGGAACTTATGTGGTTCGAACAATGAGTTATTTTTATGCTTTATGTTTATGTTGTTGACGTTCTTATTCATGAACTCTCATTTATTTGGTTATTAGCGACTTCTGTACTATGTTACATTGTGAGTTTTACATTTATCTGTTGCATTTGTGAACAATGTAGAATTGGGCCTACGGCCGGTATCTACCTTTCATTTCCCGTTAATGACATTTGTTTTCACACTATGAGACAGGTTTTACTTTGGAGAATTGTTATTGTTCAATTGTTGTCAAATTATTTGTTGCATATTGGTATTGTAGAGCATATACCACTTTCAGGTACCATGTCGAATGCCGGCCCATCAAACCAAGGAAACACCCACCCCGTGAATGGTGATTCCGACTCTGAAGATGACTTCGTACTTGGTGCTGCCGCAGTGTGGGTATGTTGCGACGACTTCTTGGAAAGACCTCTTCCAAGACCAAGAAATAATAGTCATTATACAGGTCATCAACGTCTTGGTGATCTATTAGATGGGCACGAACTAGTGATCTACAATCAGATAAGAATGGGAACTGATTGCTTCAAGCGGTTGAGTTGGTTACTTGAACAAAAGAATCTGTTAAAGAGTACTAGAAATATGAACGTGGATGAACAACTGATGATTTTCCTCACAATTGTGTGCCAAAGCGAAAGTAATAGGGAGACGCAACATCAATGGCAGCATTCAGGAGCGACAATCTCAAAGTATTTTATGATTGTACTGAATGCCATATATCGACTACGACATGATTTTATTGTGCCCCCAGACTTTAACACTATCGACCCGTTCATTGAAACTAGTGGGAGCAAGTACAGGCCTTGGTTTGATGTAAGTCAACATAACATTTTACTTGATTATTCTTTCGTTTATGTTACATAACCTTGTTTGGACTAATCTACTTTTACTTTGCAGAACTGTGTTGGTGCACTTGATGGGACACACGTTCCTTGCGTTCCGCCGCCCGACAATCCAGAGGTATGGAGAAATAGGAAGGGATTTATGTCTCAAAATGTTCTGGGTGTATGTTCGTTTGACATGAAGTTTACATACATGCTTGCTGGATGGGAGGGATCTGCACATGACGCCCGCGTGCTTGAATCAGCCCTTGATGGCCGACACAAAAAGTTTCCAACTCCTCCTGAAGGTAAACATCGTTTCTACATTGTTAAGTGGTAAAAAGTTGGAATTTAATTATCTTCACGGATGATTTTGTAGGCAAATTTTATTTGGTAGATTCGGGCTACGCAAACAGAAGTTGTTTCCTAGCACCATACCGTGGTAGTACGTACCACTTGCAAGAGTATAGGGCACGCCGAGGACGACCTCGTAGCGAGCGGGAGTTGTTCAACTACACGCACTCATCGCTCCGGAATTGTATCGAGCGCACATTTGGGGTGTGGAAAGCAAGGTTTCGCATTCTCAAGATTATTAACAACTACCCAATGAAGAAACAGGTAAAAATACCTATTGCTTGTGCGGTCATACATAACTTCATACGCATGTTTCAGCATGATGATAGATTTATGACACAATACTTTCAAGATGGGATTCCGGTAAGTGAAATCGACCCTGAAAATGCGGAATAAGATGTAAATCAAAATCACAACCCAGATCGGGCAACAGACACAGCAACCAATACAGCATCTCCTACGCAGATGCGCCTCATAAGAGATGAAATGACAAGTTCGATGTGGCAATCCCAACGCACAAACAACAATCAATAGTAGGCAATTATTTGACAATGTATAATTCGACACATTTGAGGCAATGCTTATTTTCTCTTTTTTTTCATCATTCGTTTTTTTTTTCTATGTGACAAGTAATTTATTACTCTATTAATTAATTACATGTACTTCTCATTTGAATATGATATGTTAAAAAACGTGGAATCCTCTTCAATTTAACGGTAGAAGTTTTTTTTTCATTCATATCATTTAAAATAAAAGAGAATTGAGATGGTAGTTGGAATTATGAATCTGTGAAATGAACACATCACAGCTCGAATTGTGAGTCAAACTTGAGACTCCAATGCACTCCTAAACACTAACTCCAATTCCAATCACAATTCCAATCATGATTCTAACTCCAATCATAACTTTAACTCAAATTGTAAAAATTTTGATTGGTGAAGTGAACACACCCTAAATATCTAAAAAGGTCGTACCAAAATTGCTTCAATGATGAAACGAAAATTACAAAAAGAGTATTTGCCGATAGTCCCAAAAAGCCCGTAGTACCAAAGAATGACCTAAAGAATAAACCCAATTAGTAGAAAAGACACAATAATTGTTCTTTTATAATAAAATTTTAAAAAAATTTAAATTTGAGTTACAATTTTATTTAAATTTTTTTTTTTTTTTATAAAATTTGAGTTTAAACTCGAGTTTAAGTTTTCTCTTTAATTTGAGTTCAGAAATTCGAACTCAAATTAATGAACAGTATTTTTTTATTATTAAAAATGTCATAATTTTTTCATTTTAATTCTGATTGAGATGATTTTTTTCTATACATTCATAACGAAAAGATGAATAAAATCTCACCCATATACCTTATTAAAATTTTTTATTACTATTGAGTTTTTATTAAAATATTATTTAAATATAAATTTAAGTTTTAACTCATTAAGCACAAACTCAAAAAAATTTTTAATTCAAATTATAACTTAAATATACACATCTAAATACAAACTCAAATTATAACTTAAAATCATCACTCAAATCACCTTTTTTAACTCAAAATTGTAAAAGAAGAACTCAATACTTAGTCGACATTAGGAAAGCGTGGTTCTGTCCTCTAGTCTTCTTCTCTGGTAATCAAATCGACTCTCTTCTCCGTATTCTTATTCCTCTTTTTTGTGTATCCAATTTTTAATCAAATAATTTTTAATTCATTTCCATGTGATGGTGGCACAGAGATCCCAATTCCCAACCTTTAGCTTAGCTTGTGAGTTCTGAAGCTTAAACAAGCAGCGGTGATTTCTCCAAATCCCTAGCTTTCCTTTCTCCAGTTTTTTTTTTTTTTTTTCAGTACTGTTAACTTAAATTGGTGGTTTAAGTTCAAAACTTTCTTTTACTTAGTTCCGACTGTGATGTTGATTAATATAATTCTAATTGAAAACTTCTGAGAATTGATCAATGAACTCGATTTCAACTTTTTTTTTTTTTAATTTTTCTTTTGATGACTCTTTTTGTGTGCTTTTTTGATTTAATTTTTTCTGTCTAGTTTTTGTTCTATACCTTGAATCAAATCTTTTGTGTGAGGTTTTGGTTTTTTAGGTTAGAGAAGTAATATGAGCTTAGTATTTTTTTAATATGAGGTTAGTATTTTATTTTATTTAAATTTTAGGAGTAGAAACAGAAATGGCCAGATTTTGTGATTTTCCTGATGGGGTATTGGAGGAAATTATGTCGTGGCTTCCTCCCGAGTCTTTGGAACGATTCAAGTGCGTTTGTCAATCATGGTATGTTCTCATCAACAGTCTCATTAACGACCCGAAATTTGTGGCCAAACACCTTCACAATACCACGGTCAATATGTTGCCGTCTCCAACCACATGTTTCTGGAAAATGGTGGCCATCAGTCACCAAGAACCGGAAGGGAAACAGACCACTGAAGAAGGAACTCATTTGCTCACTATGGCCACTCGGGATTTCGAAGTTAATAACTACATTCCTTGCCTGATTGGAGATCTTAAATTTCTCGTTCGTAAGCTTCGTGATGACTATTTTAAACTGGCGTCCCATTGTGATGGCATCATCTGTCTCCACGCCCATTGCAAGAAGGAGTTTATTTGTTTGTTGAATCCAGCACTCAAGGAGTTCAAGATTGTTCTTAATGCGGGCCTTGGTGATGGCTTTAAAATACGTGCAGTAGGATTCGGCTACGATTTTAGAGCTAATGATTACAAAGTTGTTTTCATCAAGTCAAACGGCCGTTCATATCAGGCTGAGGTTTATACCCTGAGTACTAATTCTTGGAAAGAAATCGAACTGGGTATTGATGTTTCCAACTTTCCTTATTCCGGACACCAAACATTGTATTGTAATGGAGTTTGTTATTGGTATTATTTAAACCAGGGGAGTAGAAAGATCATTTCTTTTGATGTTGTTGATGAGGTATTTCATAGCATACCGCCGCCGGAGAATGTCACAGGGGTAGAAAAAAAGTGGAGAAATCTTGTAGAATGGTCGAAGATTGCGGTTTGGAACAATTCGATTGTTTTGTTTTTCTATGTTAAAGCCGGTCCAGCAGTCGTTGATATGTGGGTGATGGATGCCTCTTCTGGTGGTGTTGAAGCTTCTTATACTTGGACCAAACATATAACCATTGGACCCCTGGTGGGCATTAAGCGTCCGCTGGCGTTTTTGGATAATAACGTCCTGTTCTTGGAAACCAAAAATCATAAAATCACCTCCTTCAACATTCGTACCAGAACAATTAACGATCTTTCTATCCATTTGGAAAATTTCAGAAACAACCGTTTCGTCATTTATGCAAGGACTTTGGTTTCAATACTGAAAAGAGAGCGGAAGAACCTAACCGTAGACATGAATCGTCGTAGTTCTGGAGCATCCTCTTCAAAGAGAAGTATTATGCATGGAGTGAGAATTATCTAATGTCCGTCTCTGTGTTGCATTCATTTTCATGCTCGTATGTTTAACCCATAGTTTCAAGCGTTTTTCATCTTCATGGAAGTTGTCAAGTGCATCTCGAAGAATGAAAAGTTCCTTCTGTATACCATCAACATCAGTCGTGAGAATTCCTTTGTGTATATGTAATAACTTTTTACTCAATAGGAACGTACTGGGCGAGTCATGTATGGTACTTGGGATTAAGGAAACATGAAATTAGTGGTGTCTAATATCACAACTAATAAAAGGTGGGTTCCAGTTACGGGATCCATGTTATGGGGTCCACCTTCGTTATTACAATACTAATATTTGTTGTCATGTGATGATTCCAATTAGGATGTATGTCATTTTTCAGCCGTGTTGGCATGACCCACCTGTATTTTGGTTAGATGTCAATAGATATATGGCATGGGAGCAAGGATTTGCTAATTGGAACTACTTCACATTTGCACTATTTTTTGTTTTACTCTGTTCTGTACATGTTGTAGAGGAAAATGCTGGATCACTTTTGGGATTCATAGTGCTACTTTCCCTTTACTGATCCTATGTATATCTTCATTTACAATCAATCATATTGGGGTCGGCAATTTATCCAAATGGGATTAAAATCTTTTTGAGAATCCTCTGATTTTAGAAGCAATTAATTAGCAATTAATTAGCAAGATTACAAGCAAAAACTATATTCATGTTGGGTGGAGACAAAAAGATGAAATGGGTGGATAGAACATTCAAAATAATCATTACTCATAAACTTCCATAAAGGAATATCATTATTCATTACAATCAATAACTTTCTAATAATAAAGCACATTTATTATTTCCAAACATTTATATGCCATAGTTGTAGAAACAAAAGGAGAGAGTTATGGGCAAAAAGTGATGGCATAGTTGGGCCCACCACTGCAAGTGAAAGTGATGGTCTTATCATCATAAGCATAACAGTGTTTCTTGAATAGCCTTGAATACTCGCTAGGCTGGCATGTGTTGGGAGAATTAACTCACCTGTGCAACAATATTGTGGCTGACCAAACGCCAAACATGCACTTTTGCAAGCAACGACACTCCCCGTCCCCAACTAATTTTACAGCCAACTCTTTAGGGCAACCCCGTTGAAACTCCGCGGGGCAGCTAGTGGAGTTACATCTTCCAAAGCTGCTACTAGACCCTTCTCCTGGAGTCATTGAGACGGGCAAGTTGAAGCCGCCAACAAGACTAACATCGTAGAAATCCTGTCCACTATTGGTTGCGGCTAGCGTGAACTCAACTAGGGTTGTGGGTGGGATTGCACCCGCACCTTTGCATTCCACCATGCCGGAACCACAGTCTCTAGTGGCACAGATAAACTTCCCGGAGGAGTCGATGGAGCAATGGGACCGGGACGAGGACATCTAGAGATGAAGAAGCACCTGAAGCTAACTCAAACCCTGTTGAGGGTAATTGTTGTGAGGTGCCAGCACCGGTTAGAGTTCCTGGCCAGATTGTAAAGGGACAACTATTTTTGAATGTGAATGTTCTGGTTGAGTGAGTTCCTATATATGCAAAATTGCACAAAAGAATGATTAATGTTGGATATAATTTTGTAACTATTGAGAATGTGGTTATCAATGTTGCAATTTGCTTGAATAAATCTAGTAGTTGTGCCAATATTTGAATAAAATTCACCTAATTTTCTAATTTTTAGCTACATATTTTTGATGCTATGAGATGACGCACTAGTTGTGATATGTTTCAATATTTGCTTCTTTTGTTGCTAAAAAAATTCTATATCTCGTTGGATTTCGGTATCTTGTAACATTTTTCTTACAATTTCATTTTTCTATTCATTTATTCTAGTAAGAAGTAAGAACAAAGTTACACAAAAACCATAAAAAGGTTCACTCACAAGATAAATAACAGCTCCTTTTCACATTAAAAAAAATTGTGTGAATGGAAAACTAACTCAATAGAATTATCCCTTCCATTCATGAGTAATTAATTAAATACATAGAAATTAACAGTTAAAAAGGAAAACCAACATACAATATTATGCTTAATTTATTGCTTAAGGAATAAAATTAGGCAACAACGAGATTTTTTGCTCGCAACGACTGCAAAGAAATATGTGAGGCACTTGTTCACCATTAGGAATCCCAACACATCGAGTATGTTGCCAAATCTCACAAATGTCACAAGAGATCCTCCTTTCTCCATCATCATCTTTTGCACCACAAGGGCAATCCATAGCACACGTCTCAATACCACTTTCATATAACTCATCCCACTTAATAATAATTTTTTCTCCACTTAAATTATCTCTCATCATTTGATGATCTTTGTTAATACTTCCCTCAAAAACAATCTTTTGACCAACTTCAACCAACCCAAATACCAAATCCGTACCCCTTGAATCCACATTGTGAATTGACTCCACAACAAAACTCCTCAAACTCCAATATATCTCTCTAAAGTTTCTTTCCACTTCTAACTTTAGTTCATCAATTGTGGTATTGTTTTTCAATGTCACACACTCAAAGGGGGGCAATATGGCCTTGTTGAAACCATGTTCATGACCATGAGTACCATTTTGATGATGTTCATTGTTTTTTAGTAGAATTGTACAATATAAATTCAATTTTCCTTCTAGACCTACCTCGAATTTCGCGGGAATTTCTGGAGAATACTCTTTAACAAGGTATTTAGAATCGAGAACTATCCGTACAGCCACTGAAATTGCCGAGAGTACCCCTGAGTTCATCTTGACATTCTCCTTGAGAACGCACTTGTACAAGTAGAACACGTCCTTCATTAATTGAAACCTCGTGATCTTGTACATGGCCCTCATTCTCGATCCGTTAACAACCAAATTATTGCCTTCATGATTGCTATTATTATTAATGAAAACGTGATTGGACACATCTTCTAAGCAATACTCAAGAACTTTGGTCACGGGATTCAAGCTTCGCCTCACTAAATAATTCCCAACAATCTGATTCCCAAGTGATTTCAACACAAAATCTAACAACCCGGTATCGCCAATATAGTTGCGAGCAGCATCCCTAACTTCTTGCCTAGAAACCCACCTGAATTGAGCTCTTTTTAGGAATTCAACTATAACCCTAGTGGCCATTTCAACCCTCTTGGGGGACCAACGACATGTCGTTTCAACCAATATCCCGGGGTTGCAAGACTCCATGTTGGAAGTGTCTTTTGGAAGACGTGACTTGAGCTCTAGCATGAAATGGAAGAGGTCGCCGAGGGTTGTTAGGGAGTGATCAGATAGGGCTTGGTACTTTGAGAATATGAGAGAAAGGTCTTGGTTATTTGGAGGATATAGAAAATTGTGGATGAGTAAGGTTAAGGGCATGCCACTTAAGGCTTCTAGGGCTCTTTGGTACATTTGTTGCGTGACACAAAAGGTTCCTCGACCGAACTTGTAGCCCCATCGTCCGAACCATGGCTCACCATAGGCAATCCCATGGATTAGCCTCAACTCCATTCCTTTCTTCCGGGAAGTGTCATTTAAGCTCACTTTCCTATATCAAGCATGGAGGAGATTGTATTGATCATGTTAGTCAAAGAACTAATCAAGAATTAAGGCATAAGTTGCGGATAAGAGAGGTGAAGATGAAAAGCATATGAGCTATTAATGGTGAATACATATATAATCAATATTGGTTTTACACGTAAATGTTTTAGAACTATGAATGAAATAAGAGGAAAATAAAGAAAACCATAAATGTGTACGATGAATTCTCCAAAACATACATCACGATGCACGGCTATTACACAAAGATCCCTCGAGAATAACACGATGTCTCAGACTATCATTTTTTAAGGTAAATATAGTTATACTATATTTGATGTTTTTAAAATTGCAAAAAGTGTTCATTCTGTCAGGGATCTGTCAATTTATAGATGAAAAATGCACATGATATGAGAAAAGAAGATAAACATCCCTTAAAAGTGTATGACTCGAAATTTCTACCATTTAGTCTTGATTAGTAACATTTTTAGTCAAATAACTATACTAGTAAAAAAATATTATTAATTAAGAATAAGAGATGAATAAACAGACCCTTATACTTTTAAAGGTACAATTCTGTAACTTTCTCAACGAGACAAACTGAAACTGTGCACCCCCATATAGCATTAATTCTCACAAAACCACCCTTGTATAGCTATATATGTGAATTAAAGTAGACACAAACTGTCAAAATCAAATGAAAATTGTGCATGAAAATTTAATTTCAAAAGGCTGACCTTACTCGCAATCCGTTGCACAAACGATCCCAAAAGTCAATGATGTGGTGTCCAGCCAAGTCCGACCCATTTTCGAGCCCATTCACACACAACAAATGCCCAAACCCATTTGAGTGAAACACACCATGCATGATGTGCCCCCGTGATTCCACTAGAATCTTGGACTTACCAAAGTTCCCTGAGTCCGCAACCACGTGATCATTGCCCTCTTTGTAGTTCATGCAAGCTTCCACCATTGTGTCCTTAGAAGGCAGCACAAAATGGTACTTCTTGTTGCAAATCAAGTGCTGACCCCAGCCTGAGCTATAATGGAAGGCAAAAGTACCATGAGATTCAAATCGCATCACCAATTAATAAATGAAAACTCTAAACAAATTGACTCTAAGGTGGGCCCTACATAGCCCCACAGAATTATGGGACCAATACCATATTACAATCTGACTCATCCGAGTCATGCTATTTAGTAACATTTTGTTTAAATATTTTCATAAAAACTTTATTAAGATATAATGGGATAATATTTGGTAAGATAGACAAGACTCGACTTTGAGCAAAATAACATGCTATGCTTGGAATTTTGCAAAACTTTACCGACGAATTGGCATTGCTTGCAATGACGATTGACCGATATGTCAATAGACTCTTCAATGATGAAGAGCAAGACATGAACGGGAGGGTGACGATGGACTTCAAGCTGAAAGGACCAACTAGGCATTCGGGGACATAAATCGCTCTCCAAATGCCCAAATTCAAGCAATGCCTTCACATTTTTCCGAAATGGACCCAGAAACTCGACCGGATACCCTTTTTCTCCAAAGCTCTTGAACCTAAAAACCCGTTCTCCTCTCTTCCTCTTCTTGCAGCCAGTTAGGTCCAAATGAGACATAGTTTTTGGCAACAGAAGTTGGAGACCAAAAAGCTAGAACAAAGAAATTTAGAAAGACCATTTGGCACTTTGGTTAAGTGCTTATATACATGTACATTGGAGGGAAGACCAATTTGGCAAGTCCAATATATTTAAGGAAGGTAATATCAAGCATGTTAAGGGATAATAACAAAACAAACCTTAGATGATATATTGCTTGGTCACACACAATTTGTGCCCACAAAATAAAATTTGGATATGACCCAAAAAAGAGACTCTATAGCTTGTTGATTGGTCACTTTCTGCATGATTTGTTTCAAAAATAGAGTGAATTTGCAAATCTTTCGCGGGAGTTGGAGTTTTAGAGTAAATTATTAGGGCATGCAATTATCCCACTATTGAGCATTCCTTTGTGCTCCGCCAATTTCTATGGTCACTTGGGAATTGCTTAGCTTATCTTATAAAACACAAGCCTACAAACCTAACAATCTTGGCCAACTACCCTTATCAAAAATATTTTTATGAGCAATGGATGAAACATACGTATATATTTGTAGAAATTATGATCAATATTGATCTATTGCTTGTAACAAGTGTGATGTGAATTTGTTGAGCACAACTCGTGCTGTAAGCAATCACGTGTGAAAGTTTGCTCACTCGGTGAAAGCGGCGATCGAGTCTCGTTGTGGTAAGGTGGGAACACGTGTCCTAACTCAAATTTTAAAATTTTTATTTTTATTTCTATTTTTTTTAATAAATTTGATTTGTGCCCCTATTTCTAAGATGTATTATAGACATGGATGAGCATAATTGAAATTTAACTATATTTTCATTTAATAAAAAATTTCTTTTAACTTTTTTTGTCATAGTGTCCTCATTAAAATAATAAAAAAAAACTCGGGAGAAATATCTCATGTCTGCCCTCATCAAGACTTAATCCATATCTTTAAATTGCTATTATTACAACATAAATAATTATCAATATTCCTCTAGAGTACACGAAATTAGAACATTAGAGTAACAAAGAAAAAAAAAAACAATTTTTCTTGCTCATTTGGCACATCAATGGTAATGATTGAGTAGTAGCGTATGGGATGTATTGAATGTTGCACACCAATCTTCCTATAAAAAAAATCAATGTTACAAAAAACGACACAACTTTAAAGGAAAAAGAAAAGGAAAAGAAAAGAAAAGAAAAGAAAAGAATCTTGTAATGCCCATGACTGTGTGTATGTGTATGATTGTGTATTGATATCAGAAACTTGCAGGGAGAGGGTTTCCTTGAAGAAATGATTTGAAGAGAATGAGAGATCTTTCAGGTTGTGAAAATGGAGCCTCATGGGATGCGTCTCTTATTGTTGCAAACGACAATGCGTTTCCATAAACTTGGGTCCATCCCCCCACCTACACAAAATATAATATAAGAACATAACTTTAAAAATTGTCATCATATAATTGTCACTAAATCGTGATTATTATTAATTTTCATTAATTTCTTTCCTAGTTTGACTTCTTTTGGGCATTTTAAGATATATTCAAGATAAAATTAAAAATCTCTTCTAGATTATCTTTTTTTTTCCTTTAAAAAAAAAAAAAAAAATTTACCTGCTTTCCCTGGAACCAAACTCTATATGGCACAGTGGTTTTGAGTCCTAACTCACTTGCCAATTTGTCCACTAAGGTTCGGCTTCCCATCAATGGAATTACAGAATCTTGGTCTCCACTGGAATGATATATTATTTGACATATATTATAATAATGTACAAATTAAACACAATTACAAGTGTTGATTTTGGACAGATACATATATATATATATATATATGTATAATATTTGGAGAGGAACATGAGGACTTTATACAATGAAAGTCCATGAAGATTCTTACCTATAAACCAAGACAGAAATTCCAGCCTTGACGAGTGATCCAACAATAGAGATGGTTGGTAATTCTACATTCAACACTTCATAGTCCAATATGCTGCAACCAAACAGACTAGGTTAATGAATAATCATCACATAGTAAATTATATTTCATTCACATTAATCATGTGTTTAATTTAGTATTAAGAGAAGAATTACTTGCTGCAAGCGTCCCATTGACGGACTCCGACAAGCCGAGCATGGAGAGCCCTTTGCACGTCTCTTCGGTTCAAATATTTTACGACTTTGTCATCAACACATACATCTATTGTCTGATCACTCACTTTCTGCAGCCATTAAGTTTAATTTTACAATTAAACACTGCCCTAATAAACAAGGCAAAACTGCAAAATTTTGCATTATAACAGTTGGATCTTCTTTTTTTTTTCTTTTTTCTTTTTGACAGTTTTGATCCTAGCTATAAAATTGATTTTTCAAATCTAAAGGATGTGTCTCGTGCTCATTTCATGACAACTTAAACTATATTACAACAAAAAGACATAAAGTCTAATAAAACACTTGAAAATTAAATTTCGGATCCCATGTGATTGTTTCTATAAGATTTCAATTTATCACACAATAGATACCTAACTACTTGCATTAAAAGTTACAAAAATCTATTGTATTTGAGGGACTAACCCCCAAAACAAATTAATAAAATAAGGACCAATAGCACTAAAAACTCAAAAAAAAAAAAAAAGAATGACAAAAAAAGAGGTAGGAAATACTTCATTTCTTATTGCTAACCTGAGGCTTGGGATTCAAAACCTTTGATTGTGACAAGACTGAGGAGATACAAACATCAAGAGTAACATCATATTTGTCCACGAAATTGCTGGTTTCAGCGTTGACTTGGTTGATGACTCTCAAACAAGTAGGTGAAACTGCATCTCTGTAGTACTCACTCACATACCTAGAATAGTTACACACTGAGTTGAACATTTTGTATGTCGTGTCTGATATCAGTCCGTGAGACCACAGGTACTCTGCCCTCGAATTGAAGTCCGTCGCGTATTCCAGAACGGGATTTCCCAGCTGAACATGGATTATGTGAAACTTAATTAGCTCAAGTAAAACAAAAAATAACTATGTTATATGACAGCTTTAATATACTGTCACGTATTGGTAATTGCATCATCAATGGTGATAAATAGCGTTTTTCATTGCAAAACCTCAAAATTGAAACTATATTTACTACTTACAGCAATTCCTTTTAGATTGAAGACCTTCCTTTTTCTGTTTACTTCAACCATAAGCTTTGCCAACTGAGGAATATAGTGGCCTAGTTGATAGAAACAAAAATGTACTTTAGATTAACCTTTGGAAGCTCAAGAGATGGATAATGGGATTGTGTAGAGATTAGAATTACCTGCATAACTTTCCCCAGTTAAGAACAAATCCCTCTTCCTGTATTGAGGGAACTTTCTAAACCACCCTCTTAAGAATATTAGATTGGCCCTGGCTTAAGACATTATCAAATCCAATACAAGCACAATAAGAAAGAAAGAAAGTAAAAAGAAAAAGGGCCCTTTATGGCAAATATTAAATTTTATTAATTAAGAGTGTTTTAGGAATCTTAAATCCAAGTAAAGTGTAGTGAAGAAAATACTATTGCTTTATGTGTCAAAAAGTGCATAAATGACCATTGTTGTCTAATGCAGGAAAGTAAGGAACAAAGTTGAAAGGAAGAAATGACAGTTTATTGAAATATATAATCAAACTTAATTAGGATATAATTAATAATTACCTGTTGCTTTATCATCCACTGCCACATAAGAGGAACTATTAGTGGAATAAGAGAAACCCACTCCAACTGGTGTCTCCAAATACAACATATTTGCCTCTGATAATTAATTTACCAAATAAAAACCTCTAAAAAATTGAATACCAATTATACCAATTTGTGTACACAAGAAAAAATAAAACAAAATTATTACCTCTATTCCAGCTGTATTTATTTCTAAGCAGGATCTTCCCATTTGGTCTAAATGGTCCATTTTCAGAGAATGCCCCTACTCCCAGAGAAGAACATCCTGGTCCTGCAAAACCAACAACAATATACGTATATACACACATATAATTGAATGTTTCTTCTTAATTTATTTTAGGCAACAAAATTGGTATCATAATAATTTAATGAATTCCAGTGAGAGAATTTACAAACCCCCATTTAACCAGAGAACCAAAGGCTTTGAAGAAGGATCTTTTTCAGCTTCCACAAAGTAGTAAAAAAGAGAAGTGTTCTTCTGTGCATCAACTTTGACATAACCAGAAAACTGTTGAAACCCCACTTGGGGTTGACCAGGAAGCTCATGGATCTTGTCAGAATGAGATGAAGAAGATTCATTTATGTTCATAAGAAGAAAGCATAAGAGAAGTAAAGAATGGTGAAGTTGTGGAGATTTTGCCATGGCCTTCCAAAGAGAGAAGAAGAACCTTGAGAAGGAAGTAGTACTTTTTTGTGATTTCAAGTGTGGAAGAAGATATAGAATTTGTCCACTAAATAAAGTGCTCAGAAATTTGACTTGCTCTTTTTTTTTTTCCTTATTTTGATTATTAGTGTTGTCGCTTTTTGGTTGCAGGCATGAAAATGGTTTTGAAAGAGATGTGTGTGAGAGACACAATGACTAGAGTGAGTCTTCTTCTTCCTTTTTTTTTTTTTTTTTTAATATTATATGAATAGAGGGTGGTATATCCAGATAACTCGTAGGATTTATATATACTTATGACATATGATTCCTCACGAAAATTGTTTTGAAAGATATGTACCTGAAAAACACAATGACTATTCCGAGTTTTTTTTTTTTTTTTTTTTTTGAACTTTGACTTGAAAAAGTTATAAAAATAGAGTGTGACGTATTAAGAGTGATCATCAAAGATAAAGTGTCCTAATATGATATGTAGATCCCTCGCTTGTATTATCGCGCAGGACAGACTCGAACTTAAAATCTTGTTTAGGAGAATGAAAAATATTAGCGTCAAAAGTATTGACTAGAGTGCAAGTTATATGTGGATATATGTCCTAATTCCTTGTGCTGTGTCAAGAAGATAAAGTTGGTCTTTTGGCACTAAAAAGGTCTGAAGTCATGAGCAAAAGGAATCTGCAGTTGGACTGCTTTTTTAACAAGAGTTTGTGGATTGATTTTCAGAAATTGCAGTTTTGTTGTTTCTGTTTTATTGCTTTTGTTTTTTTTCTTTTATTCCTAGTCATTCATATATATAGCCACAAAATACCTTACCCAGTGTTTTTCCAGACAAATGCAACAAGAGAGTACGTCTCATTTGAAAGTGGCTTTACAAGAATAATACTGCATTCCATACAATATTGCTTTGAAAAATGTGTCACCAATCTCAGGTATAATTTCGCTACTTCATTCTTAAAATAATAATAATAATAACTGAGATTTGTTAATAACATCATGAGGGTTTGAGGCCGAAATTAATCATCAATAGAACTTCCTAGTTTCTTTTTGGCTTTCCAAAGTATGATTTGATTTAATTGGTTAACTTTTCTTGATACGTAAGTACACACCCAAATCTTAGCTTTTCTAATTTTCAGACATATACGTGTGAAAGATTCCGAAAAATGCTCCTTAAAAGTACTATAGTTTAATGCAAAAAATGTTACAAATGTATTATTTCAGGGAAATTTTTACCTTCGTTTTTAATTACGGGTAATAACGGTTGTTCTAATTCCAATACCAATATGCATGATACAAATGTTTTAAAAATGAGTGTGAATTTTTTTTTTTTAGGATTTCATTGGTAGGCCTCCTTACTGGTAGTGTTAGTTTCTGACCGTTGAATCTTGTCAAAATCATTTTAGATTAAAAAAGTATATAAAACAAACAGTTTTTGATACAAATCTGACAATTAATTCATTTTTTTTAGTGTTTCCAGAAAAACTCTTTTTATTTTTTTTAGGACTTAAAACAAAAAGTTACTTTTGGAATTTTTTATATCTTGTGGTGGTTAAATCATGTGAAAGGAATTTAAGGTCATCCCAAGATCATGCAGTTTTATGTATGTTTGGAAAATTTGCCAAGAGAAAATATTATGTTTGACTATTCAAATGTGTTTATTATAACTTGGGGAATTAAGTATAATCTGTAAAGTGAAATATAGTTTGCTTAATGAATTGAGATCAAGGAGATCAACAACATGTGGGCTCTTATAAGTGGAAATTAAGCAACAAATATATAATCCAGTCTTCTTTATGTACTTTTGTGAAATGAATTTGTTCTCTTTGACCCTTTTTTTTTATTTTTTTTTAAAAAGAGGTGTTTTGATGATATTGAAATAAAATATATGTTACAAATTGCCTTTTTTGTTTTTTTTGTTTTTTCCTTTTCACATATATAACATATCACGTGCTAGAGTCCACAGACACCACATGTTTCCCATTATAGCTTCAAAACACCAATAATGGCTTCTAAGTGTATCCTTTCCCCTTTTCACTCTCACCCACATTTTTGTCTTACAATTAGGCTTTTTTGCTATTATAATATATATTATATATATGTATGTATATATATGTGTACTCATGAAATAGATAGTAACTAAACCTTATTTAAAGAAAAAAAATAACAAAAATATGGGTCTAATATTTGCAAGACAACATGTGCTTTGTCAAGAGCTCATGAGCATTATAATAAATAAAAGTACTGCCGAAATCTTTTAAATCTTAGTTTTATGTGCGTTTCAGATTTTCTATGTCTGGCTTGGGTTAGTCTTGCAATAATAATTCATGATGTTGACTTGGCTAAACTACAATGAAAAGATTTCAGTGCCTTTGTGGGGCTTCTCTGCATGGCTTAAAATAAGAAAGAAGAACAATTGTGAATGAAAAATCAAGGAGCAAACAAACTACAAAGAGACATATGGCATGTTTACTTACCAGAGTGAGGAATGGAGAATCAGAATCAACTCATATTTACTTACCTACTTTTATCTTGAAATTGAAATAAAAAAGTGTGGGTTTCACACCAATTTAAGGTTGAGGAATGAGATGAGCACTCCCCCACCCTCCACCGAATTAACACTCTCAATCCTGATAATAAATGTGAATTACGATTTTACCCATAGTTCTACTAACAAATTCGTGGATAGAAAAGTAAAAGTGAAAAATTAAAAATGTCCTAATTACTTTCACACATCTCGTATCTCCTCACCCACTTCCTTTGATATTTTCTTCTCCTCAAAACACAACATTGCATCCACAGCAACCAAGAACATCCATCTGATATATATATTTTTTTATTTAAATTATTTCAAAATTTATTGAGAAAAAATAATGCAGATGATTAACTAGGTGTAATTAAAAAAAATCTAACTACACCTAATTATTAATTAATTATCCTAATATTAAGATAGTTAGCATAATATACAATTTTTTTTAAAGTTCAAAACACAAAAAACTACTAAAATGGTATGTAAATAAATTTATGACAGCTTATTCTGATTTTAATTTTTGTCCACTCCAAATCCTACCCACTCTGATTATGGATAAATAAACATGCCAACATAGTTTTCATTGCTATATTCCAAGCCTTGTTCTTTAATGGAGCTCATTACACTAATTACAGGTGTGTGTGTGTGTGTGTGTGTGTGTGTGTATATATATATATATATATATAAAAGTGTAGAAAAGAACCAAAGATGATATGATATGGGCGTGTTTTTCTATATGGCCCGCTTGATATTCATTATACTACTTTCCACCCTCATTGGACATCTGATATTTTTTTTTCAGAATTTGAATTCTGTTACTCAATTAATGCAATGCCAGCAAGTGTAAAAGAGTTCACAAAATAACAGAATTAGAAGAAGAAGAAGAAATTTTATAAATTATGAGCCATTGTTTGTTTGCATTCAAGATAGCTTCACAAAACATCATCGATGATTGATGCTTCTGGCGCTCACGGGTTCGAAAGACAAAGGGCTAATGATTTTTTAAGGAAACCTTCATGGAATCCTTCATTAGTAACAAAACGAGCTCCTTTTCTCAAACCGCCAAACACTACGCCATATAGGGAGAGAATTTTTGAGGAATCCGACATCTGATTTTAAATGAAACCAGATCTAAGTAATTTCTCAATGAAACATATGTAGTGTACTACCCGCTAGAAAATAATTTTAAAAAAAAAAAGAAACAACTTTCAACATTCACCTTATTTTACAGGGAATTTCTACCATAGGGAGAACACACACATAAATGTGTTTTTTTTTTTACTCAAATCAGAATGTACTATATTTAAAAACAGAAAAAAAAAAAAAAGACATTCTTTGATACGTTAAGATATTAGTACGTAAGTCAAGTTTTCTGTCCGTCAGATCTTCATAAAATTACGTAAAATTTAAAAAGTACACAGATTCAATAATTAAAAAAATTTAACCTACCAATATATTAAGCGTACCAGAGAATTTTCTAAAAAAATATATTTGTCAACCGCTTAAAAATGAATAGGATGGATATCTTGCAATTTAAGGACGTGAACTATCACAATAATGAATTGATTTGACTTTCATTATGTAAATACATTTAAATCTATTTCTTTTTTCTTATGCCACAATAATGAATTAATTTAATATAAGAAACTTATATTCTTTTCTATAGTTTTAATTTTTATGTGTGATGAAAAAGAAAAGAAAAGGCAGAAAAATATTGTTAAAATGTGAAAGTTTAGGAATGGCAGGCACAACTTTTAGGATAATTTACATTATTTTTTCACAAAAAAAAAAAAAAAAAAAAAAAAAAAAAAAAAAATTTGGGGAAAAAAAAAAAAAAAAAAAAAAAAAAAAAAAAAAAAAAAAAACTTTGGGGAAAATAATATTTTAGTTTCACAAGTACCTAACCATTAGAAAAATAAGATAAAAAATTCCTACCTTAAGGCTTAAAAATGGGAAAGATATGGCTATGAATTATGATGCGTAGATTTGGGGTCAATCCTTATTATAATTTAGTTTGTTATATATCTTTTATTTATTGTTAGACTTTATCATTAGCATTACCTACTGTTTTACTATATGTATTGCATTAGGTGTTTGTTTGTTCAACGACTTAATGATGTGTTTTTTTAGCAAAAACAAAATAAATATATAAATAATGAGTGTGTTAGGTATACTAATGAGTGTTGTGGAAGAGAAAAAAAAAGACCTACAACTCTATGGAGGGCATGAGAGAGAGAGAGAGAGAGAGAGAGAGAGAGAGAGAGAGAGAGAGAGGGAAGTAAATAGCTAAAATAGAATTGTTAAATAAATAGAAATGATTAAGCAAAATGGGAAGTGGTTGGGATAATATGGGTGCAAAAATATATGAGTTGGAACATGTGACGCACTAGAAAAGAAGTATACAATATACCTCACGCTTTGGCTTTTTTGAACCCTTGCGTTGAAAGCAAAGCTTATAACACCTTTTCCTTCTTTTAGTTTCCATTTTTCTCAATGCCTCTTGGCCATTTTCATACAATAGTTTAAAAATACATTTGCTTAGAAAAGCTAGCAAACTTTTTCTATTTGTTTAAATGAATTTGTGAAATATTCACTTTTGAGTTATCTTTTTGAGATATGGATGTTAATGGCTGCAGATATCACGGTTACTGTCCCATTGAATGTGCCTCAACCTCTGCACAACTTGTGGTTGTACACGTGTTTTTTTTTTTTCTTGTTC